CACATTTAAATTTATACATGGGAGTCGGGATGTTACAATTATGCTCTTTAATTTGTGACTGGGATGCCGAGGATCACAAGAGATATGAATAACCATGCAAACCCGCTTGACAACATCAATGTAATTTATCATCTCAAATTAATATGCCGATAAACCACACTCGCTCCACTAACAATGATGATTTTCAATTTTTCCATCACTCATATGCATAGTTACAAATTAGTTTGTCGGTTAACCACTCACGTTCCATTAGCGACATATAAAGAGTGATGTTTGTTTTCATGGATTAACATACATTCACATTTTATCCTAAAGTAACTAGAGTTGGGATTTGTATAAAATGTTTTAGTACTTTAATAGCATCACACTTTTAAGAGGTTGTGTCCTATCAACCTGTTCAGCTAACGACCCTCCATCACGCAAGGGAGTGGTGAGTGAGAATAGACACTCATTCAACAGTCATTTTATAGGGAGTTTTCTTATACCCCCTTATAGTCTGACTTCGTGAATGAGGCTTACTAACAATTGACTAACTTATCTTATACATATAAGATATCAAATGTTTAATCATATATAGTGTAAGGTGTATTTTAAATCGTTTCAATATAAGAGGTTCAAACATTAATTATCTAAATTATCTTATAGTTAATTAATTAATTTAAACCTAGATGAATTCACAATTATCCTTTAATTATTCTTATAATTAAATTGATTATTCAAATCATAAGAGATAATTCAATTTAATTTATCTAATTAAAAATTATCAGTTAAGGATATATCATAATATTTAGGGTTTTATTAATTATCACACGAGGCATTTAAAATTCAAAATCAAGTAGAATAATACAGGATAATTACCAAAAATAATATTATAAGTCAGATTAGGAAGATAATAATCGAAAATATGGAAAATAGATTCTCACGCCGAGATAGAAGCACTATCACATCGTGAGAAAAATCTTTTTGCGAAAACAAGGTTTAGCTCGTTCAACTCATGTGCAATCAATGTTTGACAAGTCAAAGCTCTGATACCACTGATGGGTTTTGTAGAAAACAAAATTTTACAATGTGGAAAACAATTTAATAGTTAATAGGGTACATGCATCCTATAAATGATATATGTCATACACCTTGATAACAACATATAATGAACAACTACACCAAGCATAACCCCAGTGTAATTCGAAAAATACAAAGTATAGAGTTACATACCTTTTGATTTGTTATTGTAAATTACAAACCACACAAATCCTTGTAGTTGTAGAGCTTGGAAACCTAGCACCAAAGAGATGTTGGCTCTAATGGTTTGTACCCAAATCCTAGCAACAAGAACACAAGAGGAGAGAGGGGAAGGGAGGAAAAATTCAGACCTCTTGAAGACTTGGAAGAGTGGAAGAAAACTAGAGACCTTAGGGTCCTATTTAGAGCTGATAAGGAAGCCTTGGATAACCTTAATTTGAATATAGTAATAATATCTTAAATATGACAATTATCCAACTTCTTAATTATCAATAAGCAACATTCTAGAAACCCTAATTCCCTAGGAAAAACCAGCCATGCAAGGAGGGTTCTAGAATCCTTATCTTGTTCAACTATTGAATAATTACAACTTACTCCCTCTACTTCTAATTAATTCTAATTAACCCGAAATTAATTCCAATTAATTTTTGATTAATTCTAAATTAATTATAACTATTTCTATTTAATATATTAACCATATAATATATTAATAAATTATCCTCTCTCTCCAAATGAATTTTTCTTAGTTGCTACTTTTAAGGGCAACCCAAAAGGACTATGCTTTTATCTTAAGAATATAACAATTTAGTTATTGGCTTAGACACTTAATCCAACAATAACAAAAATGCAGACTTCCTAGAATTGACTCCTATGAAGTAAACATGAAAGACATGCAACTAAGAAGTAGACTTTTAGCATTTACTCCTATAAAGCAAAGAATGGAGAAGTAACGAGATATAACGATATGCATGAGGCCTTGCATATGTCAACAGGTGGTATAAATAATTGAAGAGTGTTGTCTCCCTAGCCCTATATTGAATTCAAACATAATATACCTTATAGATTGGGGACTATTCTAGAAGGAACACGAAGAGTTGGAAGTAGAGTTCAAAGAGAAGCAAGAAAAAAGCTAAGATATGCTAGATCAAGCATATGTGCGAAAAGAATCCTTGAAGAGGAATCTTAGAGTTTCTAGTACATGTTTGGTAAAACACGTGGTTGTTATTAGAGCACTTGATAAAGACGTTGAACTCCTAGTGGACTCTAGGAAAATTTATTGCATGTTCCCATTTGGACACATACATATATGCTAATTTTTTTTCTGGTTTTCATATGTGTGAATGATAGTATAGGCATGTACTACCAGAAGCACATGACTCATACTTGGATCAGGAAAAGACGTAAGGTAGCTAAGGCACTGGTAGTTGAGTCTGTTTGTTTCTATTATTACCATCAATATAGTGATGACTAGGAAAATAGTTTCTGATTCAGACCTTAGTGGTCATTGAGTCCAAGAAATATAAATCTGTGAAATGAGGTAATTGGTTCAGAGAACAATGTCCCATGTAATAAACGATTTTAGTTGGTAAATGTGAGATTGAAGAAGGAGATGATCGAAGGGATCAACATAAGTAATGCAACCTTTGTAAGCGCCGAGCAGCAAGTAGCTAGAAATGCTACCTACTATGATGTGATTGTACCATATTAGAACATGAATGAAGTTTCCCTTTGTGTTAATGTTTAACTTATAGAAACAAGAGTCTAGTTTATTGCATTATGCGATAGAAGGTCATTAGAACGTGGTCATTCAGCCTGTTAATGTGACCAAAGTAAATACCTTATCATCAGTTGAGATTACAACCAAATTTAGAAATGTGCAATAGTCTCTGATAAAAGTCAAGTTTATGACTCAAGAGTAAGGACCGAAGGTCCACTGGTGGATAAAAGAAAAAGTATAGGTTCAAGTGGCACCATAACATATAGGTTCAAACCTATTGATTTTTGTTTGCGAAGCCAGGGAAGATGAAAACATCGTAGCTAGTACATAATGATGCATGAAAGTATCTTTTATGTATTTTATCCAAATGCTTCAAGAGATGATCGGAAAGATCGTTGCAAGAAGATCAATTGGAGTGCGATAAGGTTAATTGTCCCATACAAGAGGAAGAAAAAAGGCATGCATTGGCCACAAGATTTGGCTCCCCATCATGAAGACTTTTATAATGATGATGTTAAGCATGAAACAAGCCAAGACGGGGTAAGCCACAACATGTCACGTTATGGCATAAACCATTGCGCTTTTATTAGAAGTTTATTGATATAACACTTGTGTAAACTTGATATATTTAATATAAATATATAATTATGTTTTTTCAATGGCTAACTTACACACTTCTAACTCTGCTCCTAAGTCGACATATTTTTAGTTTCAAAAAAGACATGAATCCTTATCTTATTGATTGAGTGATACATTTTTGATGTACAAATTTTAATGTTGCTAGGCAACATGCTATTTGGTAAATCTAATTTTTTTTATAGGTTCAAGTTGTTCTGTATGATTGAGTAATAGTACAACACACACACACACACACACACACATATATATATATATATATATATATATATATATATATATATATATATATGAAAATTTGATGCTTAAAAAAATCCATGAGCTCCTTGCCATGACTCGTAAAGTTTGAGACTTAACATTTTTACCACACCACAAGTCACACAAGTTAGAACTTTGTTTGAAATAAAGCATTCCGAACTACGAAATCCGAAAAACGTTTCCAAAATGTAGAAGTAACATTGGAAAACCTTATAAAAAAAGGTTATCGTAGTTGAAACACATTATATTATACGAGCATAAAAGCTATAATTTCATTGTAAAATTGATGATTCCAAACAAGTCCCGAGTCGAAAGAGATTTGTTAACTGTATTAGGTCCGAATAAAAAGTAAGCAATTTTTATATGTCCAACTATCCATATTTTAGACATATATTTTATTTTGACAAATACCAAAAAAGTGTTAAATACTTATATTTTAGAATATTATGTATTCCTTTTGTGAATATTCATATGATTTAAGATATAATCTAAGTAAATTAAAAATTTCTTTTATCAATAAAATATTCTAAGACTGCATTAATATGGCCTTTCATCTATCAAGTTTAATGTTATGTTTATATATTATAAAACAATAATTAATCTATAATAAAATTAAAAATATAATAGTTTATGATCAACATGATATTGAAATTAATATATGGAATAAAGAAAAAAGAAACATACAAAATAAAAGCAAAAACAAAACAATGAAAATGTGTTGAAAATTTGAATCGGTCAAAGTAACATTCTCCCTAATTTGACATTTCTCACCCTATTTAGGCATGCAATTAGTATTTTCAAAAACAATTTATAACTTTTGATTTGTTATTTTTTAACAGCTTTTGATTTGCTACATAATTTAAAATTCAAAATCATAAAATAATACTTAAAAATTATTTCTATTATCTAAAAATTTTCTATTACGAAAATTTAAAAAAAAATCCTCATATTTTTTATTCATGCTTATCTTATTTGGCTACTCATATTAAATCAATTAATTTTTTTATTTTATAATATTTTTTAATTTTAACATTTATCTTGATCTAATAAATAAAAAGATGAGTTAAAAAAAGGACATTTGATTTCTCTTTAAAATCACAAATCTCAATCAAGTGTACAAGTACAAGTTCTTGTTCTACATAAGTTAGTTTTCTCATGAGGATGGGAGGATGTATATGAATCAAGAAATATGAGTTACGATATTTGGAGTCAATTTAAATGATTTTAAACCCAATCAATTATAGGGAGTGACACGAGTTCAAGACATATTCATTACTAATAACATGTGAAATTAAAAAGAAACATCATTATGACTAAAACAATAATAATAAAATTGCAATAACATTAACATCAGAACAAAACTTTGGATGCCACTATACTATATGTCAACCATAACAAAGATACATCAAAACCATCTTCAATTATAAACATAAAAAGTTCATCATAAAAAATACTTAATCGGTCATATATAAAATAAAACCTAAATGAATGTACTTAAAAACATGGAGTTCTGAACCCTCTTCCCTCTCTTCTCTCATCAGTATTTATACTTGACCATGGGCTTGACTTAGTTGGGGGCACGATTCGACCATCCACAAATAAAGAGTTAGATGTCTCCCCAAAAGGTTGAGCTAGTGTGAGCTCATCGGCTCCATAAATAAGGGGACTACGTTGGCCTTGTCTGTGAACTTGATCTGCTCTTCTTTCCACTTCAAGAAAGTGACCAAGGGGTACGACGTTATTAGTAGATACGTCAATGACATCGAACCTTTCTCTTTGGCAAAAACAAAAACCAAAACACCAAGATTTTAATTTAGGGTTTGATTTTGTTTTGGTTCCTAAAGATGGTGTTCTAGAAATCATTCTTCCTCTACTTAGGGATCTTCTTGAGAGCTCTACAATGCTGGAAACACCCATGATGTTCCCTAGAGTAATGCTCCTATCGTGAAAGAAAGATCCTGTAGACTACATATATATGGCATATATCATCGTCACTTCATCAGAATACTTATGAATTTAAACTCATTATCATTTGTATATAAGTACTTGTTTTGTTAATTTAGAATTTGTTCTTTATTTTCAAGTAGGAAATATGTAATATAAACTTAAAAATATCGATATAATAAAACATCACATCATTTTAACAAAGAAATAAATGAAACTATTTATTAAAAATAACGATAAAACGATTTTCAAGAAACAGTCAGAATCCACTTTATGTCTCATTGTGCAAAAGTAATTGGTCATATACTTTAATCTTGCACCAAAAGAAGCCCTTCCCAAATGAGCCAAGCTATTAAAAGACAAAATGAATTACATATTACATTAATTTAATCTACTAAAACCACTATTCCTCATATATATTAACCCTTCTCTTAAAACGTGTCCTAGGCATTGCAACTAGTACTCTCTGCATTTATATAGTTGTGCCTCACCATGAAAATGAAAATATTTTCTTATAATAATGAGACTACAATTAATTCAAATAAAAGACCATGTTCAACAAACCATAGCTTGTAATTGTGATACAAATAAATTAAACATCCAGTAAGAACTATATAAAACAACTAATTTATCACTCCATTATTAGCACATTTCCCTTAACCACTACTTTTCGATCCAGTTGATTTTAATTACTTTTTTTAAATTCATGAGATGATACATTCAGATATATTTCGTTATATAATTTGTCTTTCTTACAAAAGCATCATAATCTGTAAGAAAATAAATAATTGAACGATTCATTAAAATTACAAACCTACGAGTGGTACAAAAGATGCTGAGACATGCTACTGACTCCTACGTACGAGTCTCAATTATTTTTCGACGATACAATAATGCTTCAATCCACTTTGATATGGGATGAATTTAAAATTGAATAAAAATCATATATAGTTAATTAAAGTTTTGCATCAGTAGAATCAGATACATGTCTCTTAATCTGAAATAAAATATCTAAATTGTTTCGACAGTATATTTAAATTACATTGTCTTAGACATTCGCTACTCTTTCGAGATTACTAGTTTATGAGGCTCATATAAACGATTTTAAAATGGGTATAACTCTTTCACAAGAAAAGATTAGACTGGGATTAAATCTGAGTTTTTCATGCAAGATTGTTAGATTCCGATTGATGGGCACTAACTCCTAAAAATAGATTGAAGAGGCCAGAGGCCAGAGGCACATCCCATCATCATCTGATTGGTTTTCTATATACCAGTCGTATTTACTCTAGTAACTTGTATAACATCCATTAAAACAAGTATACTTCCTTGGTTTTAGTAATATCACAACTGGAAAAAGAGCCAAAAGGCAGGACATACATATGCATACCTGAGTGTCTAAATCTGATGAAGAAACCGACGAAGAAGAAGAAGAGCCACTGAGCAAAGTAGTGAATGAGACAGCATCAGAATGTGTTGTCGATCTAAGATTCAGAGGCTGCAACTGCAACCCTAAAGGCCATCCCCCACCTTCTTCTACCTGCAGTCAAATCAGTCAATTCAAGAAACCCACATACAAATACAATTACCCAGAATCAGAGAATCCCACATGGCTATCAATACCTGTTGACGAGCCATGCATGCACCAGCAACAGCTGCAAGACCTGTACGGGGCTAGGCTTGATTCGCGGGGTGGTTCAGTCTGGTGGATTGAATGACTGATTGAATGTGCTTAATTAAGTGAGAAGCGTCATGTCATATGATGCAAAAATCAAAATTTAGCAAGTTTTAATGTCGTTAAAAGGGTAAAACATCAAGCACATTCACTCTCCGAACACATGGTTTCTGGCTTTAAAAAGTAAAGAGGGAGGCAAAGCATGTTGGGAGTCAAAAAGAGAGAGGCATCACCTATCATTACACAAAACCAACTTTACCCTACTTTCATCTAAACGATCAACAATCTAGGGTAAGATATTCTATAATTAATATTTGAAACATGCTTTAATATACGGGATATTAACAAATATGACTACTAGGACTTAAAAATAAATCAAAATAACAAACTTATTTGCATTATATAAATTTGATAATCTTGTGTGAAAAACTTATAGGTGGTATTTAAGAGTATCTCGATTTTTAATTTCGGACAAGGAAACATTTCGGATTTCAATATATATATATATATATATATATATATATATATATATATATATATATATATATATATATATATATATATATATATATATATATATATATATATATATATTCCGCTATAAAAGATTCAATCCTCAACTCGTATGCGCAAAAATAATTGAAAGTACGACGTCATTTAAAAGTTCTTTAATTACATCCAAGAATACAATTTATGAAAACACACACACCGTTATAGCACTACTATTAATTGATATATCTAAGTTCTACCGACCATCTTATCTATACATACCATCTTCTTATCAAGTCAACACCATCTAAGTATTTATGAATTCACTAGAATATATACCTACCACATTATCCAACATTTATTTAATTTCGTTAAAACATAACAAAATCCATGTTAAAGCCGCTCTGAGTCATTAATTATCATGATTAACTAAAAAAAACTTTCTTTTTTTCGCTTCGTATTGGAGAATAAAAGTCAACAAGTCAACCATTAGAGAAATGACATGTCATTTGATTGTTAGAATCGTAATTAGTACGCAATGTTTTTACGTTCAGTATATATTGATGTATTGTATTATTATTCAATAACAATGAAAACACTTCTCTCAATTTTCTCTCTCAATCAATTCATTTTCCATCTTTCTACATGGTATCAGAGCGGAAGTTCCTGATTTCATTCTTGTTGATTTCAATCTTTTTGTTTCTTATTCACTTCATTTGATCTCTATTTTTCAAATCATGTCAAGTTCTACTCAAAATCAAGCAAACGGATCCAATAGATCTAACATTGAAATTTCAAGCCCTTATTACCTTGGATCTTCGGACAATCAAAGCACGATTCTGGTGTCAAAACTCTTCGATGGAACAGGATTTGTAGCCTGGAAGAGATCGATGACATTAGGTCTTTCAGCAAAGAACAAACTATGTTTTGTTGATGGTTCTATGAATCCTCCTGCTGCAAGTTCAGATCTCATTCACGCATGGAATAGAGTTAATTCAATGGTCATCTCCTGGATCTTGAATTCTTTAAACAAAGAAATTGTTGAAAGTGTATTGTTTCTCTAAACAACAAAGGAAATCTGGTTTGAACTAAGAGAAAGGTATTCTCAATCTAATGGTACTGTGATCTATCAAGTTCAAAAGAAATTATACTCTATTAATCAAGGATTTGAGGGTTCTTCTAGCTATTTCACAAAAATAAAGAAGATATGGGATGAATTAAAGATGATTCAAGAAGTTCCTGCATGTACATGTGAATCGGCTGCTCTTTTTAACAAATTTATGGAAGAACAACGTTTAATTCAGTTACTGATGGGATAAAACGATTCATATAAAGCTATAAGAGGATAGATCTTAATGATGAACCCATTACCTAACATTTCCACTGTTCATTCATTGTTAATTCATGAAGAAAGGCAAAGAGATATTTCTTCAAATTCAAATGTTGTTACTGAGGCCATGGCAATGCAAGTTAATTAATCATCAAAAAGGAATCTTAACTATTCTCACTGCAAAAAGCCAGGGCATGTGAAGTCAACATGTTACAGACTCAATGGTTTTCCAGTCGATTTCAAGCACACAAAGTCAAAGAAGATGGATTCAATGGCAAATAATGTTGTTGATAATTCTCAATCTATATCACCTGAGCAGTACAAGCAATTGATGCAACTTCTGAACAATAGCAGTGGATCAACTCTATAATTACTGATGGATCAATGGACACTGCAGGTAACTATATTAATTCTTCAGGAAATCATATATCATACATCTTTAATGTATTTTTTTGGTTCAAATGGTGAAAAATCGTCATGGATCATTGATTCGGGGGCAACATATCATATTTGTTCAGACAAAACCTTATTTTCTTGATTAATGAATTTTCCACAGCCTCATTCCATATCTTTGCCAAATGGTCAAACACTACCAGTTTTTCAAATTGGAGATGTTCCAATCCACAATACCATCAATCTCTGTGCTGTTCTATATGTTCCAGAGTTCAGACATAATCTCATATCTATTGCCAAAATCACCAAACAGTTAAAGGTTTGGATAATCTTTACTGATGATTGTTGTGCAATGTAGGCCCCTTTATCGAAGGATAGCTTCATTATAGGGAAAAGAGTGAACAATCTGTATATTTGTGGCAACAAGTACTTGAAGACTCCTACATCTATTAATGTCAATCAGATAGTTTCATGCAAAAAGAATGATGTACAACTGTGGCATAATAGATTAGGTCATTTACCATTTGAAGGATGCCTTGTATGCCTGCTATAGGAGCTCATTGAGCCGTATGTTAGAGTTGTTAGTTAGCAATGAGATAGCCTGATTACGTTATGCTTGATTTGGTTACTCAATGCACGAATGTTGCTTGCTTTGTGCTATAAGGGTTATGACTAACTTTAACTAACTAGTAAGTGAATATGTAACAGTATTCGAAAGCTAGTTAGGGAAAGGTGGTAGGGATCCATAGTGCAACTAATAGCGGAGAGTAGGTCGGAGGGTGCCCTAGGAAAGCCTAGGATGAGATCAGTTGGAAAGGGATAACGGTTAAGGGACGTGGTGAAGTTAACGCAATCCTTGAGGAAAGTACGGATAGATGTGGAAGGTAGTATGGGCCCGTACTATTGAAAGTAGAGGATCCGTACTCGAGTCAAGGAGGGCCAAGATGGAACCAGGAAACTTGGGGAGTGTGTGGAACCTCTCGAAAGTATGGATGATCCTGACATTTACGTGTGTTATTTTCAGTATGGTGGTCACACGAGATGGAGCAGGAGGTTCAGGATCTGGTTCAGGATTAGGATCAGGCTCGGGTGTAGGATCTGAGCAAGTCGATGAAGGGCTATGTGAGTTCATCGCGTATGAGATCATGAGAGGTATCCTTGAGGCGACCCCGGTCATTTTCGGGTCGATCAAGGAGGGGATTATTGAGCTGATGGAGGATTGCATCTAGACATTTAGGAGTTATTTGTTGTCTGGCCAGACAGGTACGCACACACTGTCCTTCAAGGACTTCAGGGGGACTAGTGCGCCGGACTTTCACGGGGTGAAGGACCCCATTGCTGCCAGGAGATGGATCGCAAACATTGAGTCTGCACAGTTGACGAGCTTCTTCCCGGAGGGGTCGAAGGTCCACTTTGCTGCAGGATGTTTGAGGGATAGAGCTAGAGATTGGTGGGAGTCAGTCGGTGACTCGCTGGGAGCCCCAGCCATCCAGGCTATAACTTCGTTAGATTTTGTGACCCGGTTCAGGGCGGAGTTTGCGCTAGCTGTTGAGCTTCAGCAGCTGGCTAGAGAGTTTCTTGATATGAGATAGTCGACTGAGTCAATGGCGGATATCACCGCCAAGTTCAGGGAGAGTGCCTTGTTGGTACCTCAATATGCGGGGGACGAGGAGATGCGGAAGACCCTCTACCATGATTTGCTGAGGGCTGATATCCGGGAGCATGTCAGTTATTCAGCTTGCCCAACCCTGGAGTCCATGATTTCCAGGGCGCGAGAGAGGGAGATTTATTTGGAACACCTCAGGAAGAGGAAGGCATAGACTAAGCATCTTACAGGGGTTTCAGGGAAGAAACCCAAGGGATCCGACATTAGGTCGAAGGGCCAGTCGGGCCAGAGCCGTTGTAGAAAATGCGGCAGGCCGCATGAGGGAGCTTGTAGAGAAGGATCTTTGGGATGCTACAAGTGCGGCAAGACGGGGCACTTTGGAAGGGATTGTACTACCCCCGCCCCCACGGTTCAGACGACAGGCTTGATTTGCTTCCATTGCAATCAGAGGGGCCATAAAGGCCAACTGCCCTAGATTATTGGCGGCATCAGTAGCAATGCTAATTGCGGCGTCGACTCCAGCGATAGCACGAGTGGTGGATGGCCGGAAGGTCAAAGCAGAGGATCCAGTGGTGCGGAGCCGAGGATTTCAGTTGACAGCTGAAGAGGCATGCGCCGCACCCAATGTGGTGATGGGTATGATTTCTTCTCTTTTCTCTTTTATGTTATGTCGCTATGATTTTGATATGATATATGTATGCTCTGTTTAGGATCGTTCCATGTGAACGACATCCCAATTTAGGTGTTGTTTGATTCGGGTGCTACCCGATTGTTTGTTTCTATTTTGCTTAGCAAAAAGTTTCCTGAGTCCTCGGGCATGTTGAACTGCCCTTTAGAGGTCGAGATTGAGGACGACCGATCAGTTCGAGTATCATAGGTTTTTAGGGATTGTGCTTTGAGATTGTTCGAGGAGCGTTACCTGGTAGACTTGGTTCGCATACATTTGTGGGGGAACATGATTATTATAGGTATGGATTGTCTAAGCCCCAATAGGGCAGTGATTGACTGCACGCAATAGTTGGTACGAGTCAGGACCCCAAGTGGGGGAGAGTTGGTGATTCAGGGCGAGAAGCCACAGCAAGGACCGACTTTATGTTCAGCGGCGAGGGCTAGACGCTACCTCCAGCAGGGTTGCGTAGGATATGTCGCCTGTGTTATGGATACCCGGGAGGTGGATAAGGCGGCGGTGGGCGACGTGCTAGTAGTACGAGAGTTCGCACATGTATTCCCTGAGGATTTTCCTGGTATACCTCCAGAGAGTCAGGTAGAGTTCAGGATCGACCCAGTCCCTGGTGCGGCTCCGATAACCAAGGCACCATATCGGTTGGCTCCTCCTAAGATGTAGGAGTTGTCCATATAGCTGTAGGAGCTGTTAGAAAAGGGATTCATCAGACCGAGCAATTCAGCCTGGGGAGCCCTGGTTTTATTTGTGAAGAAGAAGGATGGGTCACATCGGATGTGTATAGATTATCGGGAGCAGAATAAGGTAATGGTGAAGAACTGTTACCCGCTCCCGAGGATTGATGACCTCTTTGACCAGCTACAGGGAGCATCTTGGTTCTCCAAGATCGAATTATGTTGG